TTTATTTATTTATTTATTTATTTATTTATTTATTTATTTATTTATTTATTTATTTATTTATTTATTTATTTATCTATCTATCTATTTATTCATTCATTTATTTATTTATTTATTTATTTATTTATTTATTTATGCCTACAATAACTAGGATGCAGGTCAGAGTTGTGGAAGGGGGTGAGAATATTCACCAGAGACAAAGTGGGGAGCAGAACAGGCAGATGGAGTGAAGCACACTACTGAGGGGAACAGCAGGCAAGACAGGAGAGGTCTGCCATGCCATATGGGTCACCTCCCTGGCTGGGGATGGAACTCATGCTGCAGTGGCTGCAGTTAGCTTCATAGTGCTGAGACTTAAATCCTTGTGCGACCAATGAGGCCCCTGCTTTTCTTCTTCTGATGCTTCACTGCACACAGGACTGGATAGTGTCCTTCAAAGTTGGCAGTTCACCAACTCACCAGTCATCTGGTTTACCCGGCCTCTTGAATGGGCCCATGGAGCCCTTTGCACATGTCTGATGACAGTGGTTGGCCCTCTCCAGCCATCCCTGCCCATCCATAGTCCAGCCCTGGCTCCTCACCCAGCTCTCCACTCAAGCTCGAGGGCATCTTTCACCTCCCAACTTCCCCTCACATCCCTGTAAGAACAGTTCACAGACAATCACACATTTTTTTCCTACTCTATTTGCCTCGCTCTTCAAATAGGTTAAAATATTTATCTGTCAATCAGGAGATCCTGCCTTTTTTTGTTATATCATTGAAAACAAAAACAATTCTTTGCATGTCTTATAGCACTACGTGCTTTGAAGATGTTGATGGTTGTTTCTAAAGTTCGACTACTCGTAGGTTAAACAGTAGAAGAAGCGGGGTTCTCTCTGGCCCGCTCATGATGGCCGCTGTGGCATGCAGACCAGCAGTGAGTGAATGAGAAGAGCGCAGAAGGGGGGTCTTACCCAGCTTTTTGCCACACAGTGCAGGGTGTCTCCGAGATGCGAGCGACGGCATTCTAAAGGCCTAGGAGGCACAAGACGGGGGCTCCAAGGAGAATACCCACGTGGGCTAGGTACGTGCCTCTGGGCATGAGTGCCCCATAAGGCCACAGGCTGCAGCTCTGACTGCTGCAGATGCCCTCGGGGTTGGCACTAGACAAAGACTCGGGTCTCTGATCTCAGAGATGGATGTGGGTTCATCCAAAAAAGCAGCAAACGCTGAGGGAGCCCACACACTCGAGCTTCCTGAGGCCGGGGCGCTTTTGTATTTTAAGATCTCACTTCAAGGTTCTAAACAGAGACGGCACTGGCCACACCAAACACTGTCCAGCTCCTTCCGTCTTGATCTGGCCACATGTCATGTTTGTAACTTGGCACACATATCTCCCAGTTCTCTCGACCAACCCCTAGGCTTTGAAACTGCAAACTGTTGAAAACATAAACTAAAGCCCGAAACCACAGGACCCCTCAGAGCACAGTGAGCTGGCCACGTACCGATCACCTTGACCTGGAGGACGCTGCTGGCTATCCTGTCGTGGGAGTGGCAGTTATCTGCCAGGCACTGGTACTCGGTGTCTTGTGTTGGTTTGTCTTGGAACACTGCGGGGCTGTTGGAGTTCTCGTCTCGCCTGTCCAAGACGTTACTTGCTTTCAGAAGGCTGTAGGAAATAGGTGAGCTTCCATTTGTGGATTGACAACTGACTTCTATGGTTTGTCCTTTAATCACCTCAGACCGGGCATTATGAAATATCCTGGGCCTGGAGAGCATTTCTAGAAAGAGAGAGAGAACCTGAGGGCATTGAAGGCAGAAGCGAAACACAGAGCCCAAGAGGTTCCTTCGGCAAACTCCTGCTTTCTCATCACTATTGCGGTATAAACAGTCCCCTGCTTTGTTTACTATGGTCCTTTAAGATGGCCAGGTGAGATATGGTGAGCAGGGAGAGAGAGAAAAATGGTCTAAACAAACAAGCGTGGCACAGATTCAAGAGTATCACGTCCCCCAAATACTGGGTTGTCAAAAAAGTGATAGAAGAAAATATGTCATGACTTTTCCAACAATCCAATACATGGCTTGTGTTTTCATGTACCTCCCAGCCCCAGACACACAGGAAAAGCCTCAAACGATATCAAGCTCTCAAACAATATATTTTAAAACAAATTTGCAGAACCTCACCCTCTCCTGACAGTAAATTGTCTGCTTCTAGAAGCATAAACCCTACCAGGTCATTATTTACAAGCTAGCTTCTTTTAAAAGTTTAGAAAATGGGGCCTTCCCTGGTGGCGCAACATTAAAGCACAGCTCTATGAAGCTTTCTCAGCCACTGCAGCATGAGTTCGATCCCCGGCCAGGGAGGTGACCCACAGGGCACAGCAGACCTCTCCTGTCCTGCCTGCTGCTCCCCTCAGCAGTGCACTTCATCCTTCTGCCTGTTCTGCTCCCCACTCTGTCTCTGGTGAATCCTCTCACTGCACCTCTGGCCTGGACCCCAGTTTTGTGTGCATAAATAAATTTATTTAAAAAAAGAAAACAGCAACTTAGGTGTTAAAGGTTAGTCATGACGTAGCGTGCTGGCTCCCGACCGTTTGAGCAGGCATCCCTCCAGCAACACAGAGGCCACATCACAGGCCGACACTCACAGGAAAACCTCATGCTTGACCTCGGCCAGCCACATTTTCCTGTCTTGCTTCTCTCCTGTGCTCTAACTTGCTTTCCATTTTATTTCTCTCTTTTTACCTCAAGTTCTACCCCTGTCTCAGTCCCATCAGCCTTCAGACTAGAGAGGGTGGGAACTGGGGAAAGCACTCCTTCCCCCCACGCAGGCACCAAGACTCTCGCAGCCAGAAGGGTGTACTCACCACACACAGTGATGTTGACACTGTTGCTCTTCTTGACCACCTTGCCCACGCCTGCCAGACAGGTGTATGTCCCACTGTCCCACACTGAGGCTATCTTGGTGAAATTTTGAGTCTGGGACACAATCATGTCTCCCTTCTGGATGGAGAAGTTGGCTGGAGGTTGTCCTGGCACAGAGCACCACAGACTCAAGATTTCACCCTGGTCCAGCCTTGTGGAGGTAAATTCCAGCTTGGGCTTGGAAAATAGCTCTGGAAAACAGTGAGGGGGGTGGGTGGGGTAAGATGTTTCTGGGCACCACCCCCACCCCACTTTGGCCCAGCTGCTTTTGACGGAACTAACCCTCTACCTCACGCACAAAGTTTCCCTTTGCTTCTCATTCACCTGAATCACCATTCCAGAGCCAGGGGCATTCTCTGTCTAGGACTCCGATGGCAGGAATTCCTCTCTTATTAATCTAATTTATCTCCCAGACATGGATTAGGAGAGTTTTGCAACTTGAATGCAGTAAGTAATGATTTACAAATTCACTCATTTTTTTAATCTGCTCGTTTTATTTCATAAGTACTTATTGCAGGCCAGGTCTGTGCTGGGCACCTTGGCTGGCCCTGGGGAGAGAGCAGTGAGTAGAAACAGTCCCCGACTTCAGAATACCTATATCTAGTGAGAAATTTAGATGGGGTGGTTGCAGCAGACCCCTGGGAGAGGACCCTGGGGTCCTTAGGTGTGAGGACTCAGGAGAAGCCTCTGGAGGATGCTATCCAGAAGCAAAGTGCCCTAGGCAGAGGGAACAGCAGGGGGTGAGAGGCAGCCAGAGCAGGGCGGGGTTTGGGGGGGTGGAGGGGGCTGGAGCAGCTGGAGGTTCCGTTGGCTGGAATGCAGTGGAAGTAGAAGAGGAAGAACTGGACATCTAGAAGGACCGAGGGGGCAGCTTTGGAGTAGAGATTGTATCTCAGGGCGTTGAGATCTATGGAGAGTGGGGCCCAGGGTGGCATCAGTGGGTGTTGCAAGGGGGTCTGTGGGAGGGCGAATAGATGGGGTTGGTGGGACCCAGCTGGACAGAGTGGGGGATGCTTAGGGTGGGGGCGGTAGGACAGTGTAGGTTGGGGGGGGGTGGTAGGAAGAAGTGGCAGCTGGCACCACTGCTCCAGCACCCCCCATGGGGAGGGATGAAAATGACACCTTCAGCCTCCCAGGGTTTTGTAAGCTATGATGCCGTGTGCCACTTTAAGGGGTTATTAGCTGCATCACTTTAGCTGGGTATCAGCAGTCATAAAGAATGAAATTAACATTCAAGACATCATCATCTCTTAATTTCATTAGTCCCAGAAATATGTCAAAGTTTCAGAGTTTGGTGTATGTTTCATTTTCCTAATTAACTACTTAACCAATGTGAAGCCTTGGAGCAAACTGGCTCGTGGTTACAGTCCTCGAGGCAAAAGGAAGAAGGAGCCTGTCCTGAAGGTCTGAGCATGGAGAAAGGAACCGAGACTCAAGGTTTCTCTTAGGGAACGATCTGAGGCTAGAGACTTGAGAATGTGGCCAGGAGTCAGGGAATCAAATGCTGACTGGGGCTCCAAATTTACGTGCCATACACATTTGAAGACAAAAGTTAGCACTGTCATTGTCACCAGGGGAAATCGTTTCTGTCATAAGCAGCTGTCATGTCTTCCTGGTTTCCTCCACAGGGGTAAGAAAAACTTCAAATAAGGTGGGACCCCAGTAACAGATATATATTTCATCAAAGTCCTCCCCTCCCTCCCTCCTTTCTTCCACCTTCCTTCCTTCCTTCCGGCCTCCTGCCTTCTTTCCAACCACATAATCAGCATTGACTCCTCTGTTCTCACGGCACCATCAAAAACTCGAGGTCACGAACGAGGAAAAGGAAACACACAAATTGACACATATTTCTAAGGCGCCTTATGACCTCACTGGCAGATACCCCAAAATGTGAAAAAATGGCTTAGGAAAAAAATCCCAAAGTATCTCATTTATAACATATAAACAAAAATGTAAAACATACAACCCATTTTGCGGACAGATATGCAAGGTGGTTTCAAATTAGGGCGAAACGTTAGGGGTGGCCTGACTGCACACAGCCTGTCTATAAAGGACACAGCTGGTTGCTTCAGACCGTCGCAGGGAGTAGTCGGGGCTGAGGGTCAGATCTCACGGAGCTCCCCAATGGGCCAGGCTCTGTGCTGAGCATCAGTGATGTCAGGTGAATGAAGCCACAGACTGGCCCTTTAAGAGCTGGCATAGAGTGGTGCAGAAAGACCCTCCATCCTCACGATGAGTGAAGACAGGACAGAGTGCAGGGGAAGGTGGGACAATGTCTGCCTGGGAGGGAGATTTGGGCCTGATCTTGAAGGACAAGACGTGTTTTTCAGCAGCCAAGACACAAAGTGCCCTTGGCCCCGGGGAGAATGGACATCAACCAGCTGTACAATGTGCAACAAAGTGGAACTTGGCTGTTATTTGTGAGTTCGCTCATGCGTTCTCCCTCCGGACCCGCCACAGTGCACAGAGGAGCCATAAATGTGATGGAGAGTAACAGAGCCCTCCGCTGACATTCCCCGAGTCCTTCCCAGTCACCGTGGGGCCACCTGCTCTAGGCGGTGCCATCACTGTCACCATCTCCTAAAGTGTGACACGGAGAAGTTCCATGCCTCACCCAGGGCCACTGCTATAGCGAGGGCCAGGGCTCAACCACACAGCAACAGGCTCATGCCCCGATTGCCACACCCCACCTGCCTCCTTCCATTCAGACCAGCAGAATCCTCGGCTCCCACTGGGCTCCTGGGTCCCTGCAGGAGGCCCCCTGACGGCCCTGTGCACGCACACCCATGGCACAGTCCTACCTGTTATGTTGACCACGATGCTGCTGACCTTGGAGATGCGGCTGGTTTCGACCTTGCACTTGTAATGGCCACTGTGCTCCACCATGGCCATCACGGAGTAGACGGCTTGGTTGCCTTCCTTGCTGTGGGCCACGATCACCTTGTCCTTCTGGATTATGATCTCCGGAAACACCTGAGGCAGGTGTGTGACCTGGATGGTACACCTGATCTGGAGCTCGTCTCCCTCCGTGATCAGGCCCTGCGGGCGGATGTGGAACTTGGGAGTAGTGAAAGATTCTGCAAGCAGAGGACAAGCTGGTTGGACCGAGGCCTGGATAGTGGGAGAAGGGCTCCCCCACGCCCGCTGTTTTTGTGGTCAATCTTTTTGATTAAAAAGACTCAGCCTTTCCTCTAAACGCTGTGTTGAGGCTGACCTGATGCTCACCCCCTTGTTTGGTCTTAAACCTCTTTTACTGCAATTCTGTCTTGAGCTACTCAAGGTCAAACCACCTCTTCCAGAGCTCATCTAGAACCTTCTTCAAGTGACCTCAGAAACAACCCCAGTGGCTAGAAACAGATGCTTCCCCTGCTTACCAAGGGCCATTCATGGAACGTCAGCATAAGTATTTCAGTTTTCAAAAGTGTCAAAGACGGGGCCCTCCGTGGTGGTGCAAAGGGCTAAAGCACAGCACAATGAAACTATCCACAGCCACTGCAGCACAAGTTCGATCCCCAGCCACGTGGTGCAGCAGATCTCTCCTGTCTCCCCACTGCTCCCCTCAGCAGTGCATTTCAGTTGCTCTGCCTATTCTGCTCCCCACTCTGTCTCTGGTGAATCCTCTCATGCCCCACACTTCTGGCCTGTACCCCAGTTCTTTAAAAAAAATGACAAAGACGTCAACAGGGTGGCTTCATAGAGAATGTGTTTAAATAACCACATCCCCCAACAAAGTGATTTCTAGTCTATTCTTTTTTTTTTTTTTTCTTAATGCTGGCCATGATTGACTAAATTGATTTCATGAATCAAGGACTTTGAAATACACTGTTTTAATAAAATGTCAGAATCAGATAAGAAGGCATGGAATCTTAGGAAATGGTGAGGTTAGGTCTTCACTCACATGAAAAAAAAATAGCAAAGTATATAAACAGATTACAAGTAAATAAAACACAGATTGGGGTGTTAAAAAGATCAAAAATATAATGTTTTAATATTCACTAGTTGTTTTTTTTTTTTACTGTAAAGTCATTTAAATGTACAATTTAAGAAGATACCATTTTTAGAGAATAGAATAGAATAGAATAGTTTTTTTTTTTTACTGTAAAGTCATTTAAATGTACAATTTAAGAAGATACCATTTTTAGAATAGCCTGCTATTCTACAGGGAGAAAGTCCATCTTTCAGGACACTTAACAAGTACACTCTGGGGCAGCTTAATAATAACCAAAAAGGTTTTCTGATCCCAGGTTAAGTCCGTATGCACCAGGGATTTTAACACAGGTCAGCAGGGAGGGAGACATAAATTGTGGAAATAGTAATAGAAAAACAAGTGCGTTTCTTTTCTTTATAAACCTTAGAGGTGAGTCTTCCTGGTGGCACAAGAGTTAAAGTCTCAGCACTCTCAAGCTATCCCCAGCCACTGAGGCCTGAGTTCTAACCCCCCGCCCCACACCAGCCAGGGGGTGAATCATAGGGCGCAACAGACCTCTCCTGTCTCCCCGCTGCTCCCCTCAGAAGTGGATTTCAGTCCATCGGCCTGTTCTGCTCCCCACTCTGTCTCTGAATCCTCTCACGGCCTCCCTCCCCACTCACACACCTCTGGCTTATCCCCCAGTTCTTGTATGCATAAAGAAATAAAGATAAAAACCTTAGAGGTGGAAGAACTTTAAAAGTGAAAGACAAATCTGAAAAACCATAAAGAGAAAGATATATGAATTTGATTCAGTAAAGATTTAAAAAATTCTGCCTGGAAAACTTACTATAAAATAAGGACAAGTGACATATTGGATTGGTACTTCTGCAGTATCAGTAAAAGAGCTAATTCTTTTACTGCATGTAATTCTTTTACTGTTTGTCTCAAACAAATCCATCAGAAGCAGAAAAATGGGCAAAGTATAAACAGGTCGTTTACAGGAGGGCAGGCCAATTGGCAAGGGACGTCTCCAACCTCTCTGAAGAAGTACAAATTACAATCACAGGGATAGATCACTGTGCTTTGATTAGATTTGCAAACTAATAAAATGTTCGTGTGCCAGTGTTATCTCAATTAAAACGGAAAATACAAGCACACAAAATACCACTAATAAAATGTTACTAATACCCCATGTTTGTTTAAGAATGTGGAAAAATAAATATTAGCATCATTTTCCACGGAAACCTTCGATTATGTTGAAGAAAATCTTGGCAATAGCTATTGAATTGAGAAAGCATTTGAATCAGCAAATGACTGCTAAGAATCAATCCCAAAATTAATAATAATAAATACTTGCAAAACTACACTAGACTGCCCACTGCATGATTGCCTTAGCAGCAAACAAGTAAACACGCCAAAAAAAAAAAAAAAATCTAGGAAAATAATTAAACACCCAGCCACAGAAAATTAGGTGAAGAATTTAGGGTATAACCCTTTAAGAAGATTCTGAGTTCCCACTAAAATGTCATAGAGCTATATTTTTTGATATGGAGAAGAATCTACAAAGTATTGTTAAGTTAGGAAAAAGTGATGGAATGCTTGATAGGTTTTTTTTTTTTTGGTAAAAGCAAAGAAAACAATCACTGCATGCATGAATGCGTAAGCAGAATGAGTAGAAGAGTCATTTGCTCGGTAGGAGGTACTATGATATTGTGAAAGTTTTACAGATCCCATGCATTTTCTGCATTGCACCTATCATGTATTATTATGCTCAAAAATAGAATATTATCTATTACAGATAAATAAATGATATACATAATATTCATATAATGTCATGTATATTGTAAATTATGTATCTCTAGTGTAGACTGTATTATGTGTCTATGTGTCGAGGGTCACGTTTCATGTAGAAGTTTGTATACATGTATCCATATGCAATGGACAGGAAAAGAGCAAGAGGTCATCTATGACAAACTTTAGGGCTCCTGTTATGCCTGGGAGATAATGAGGCTCCCTGCATTATCCCTTGAACCCTACCAGCTTTACCAATTCTTTCCCCACAGGTGACTGGGAGTGGCTGGGAGCTACCCTGGAGCTCTGCTTGTCTTGGGTACCCAGATAGAGGGGGAGCCCCTCATCAAATGTGGGAGGCAAAGACAGAGGACCTATGTCCCCTTCCCCTCTCCTAATTCTCTCCAATCTCCACTGTTAAGCAGTGGCTTAATGCCTTGGTTTTCAAACTGCAGGTCCCACAGTATCACTCCAGGAAATCTTGGCTGGTGTTTAAAGAATAGGATAGAATAGGATAGAATAGAATAGAATAGAATAGAATAGAATAGAATAGAATAGAATAGAATAGAATAGAATAGAATAGAATAGAATAGAATAGAATAGAATAGAATGAGCAAAGGGTATCATACATTATGGTTATTCTTTGTGACACTTCTGTTAAGGAAATTTTAAATATATTGATGCATATTTCACATATACACATACATACATACATGCACACTTATATATATATAAGTGATATTGCAGAGGAAAGTTTAAAAAGTAGAAGGTGATTAAGAATAACCCGAAGTGAAAAAAAAAAAAAAAGAATAACCCCAAGCACACAGCCCAGCCAGAGGCTCCAGCCCCATCCAGTTCTGGACCCTTCCTCCCCTGCCAAACCAGCCAACTGAAAAGAATGCTCAAAATCAAAGCAGGACTCTGACCAGTCACGGTGACCATATCACTCTTGACGGACTGCGAGGACTCCACTTGGGTGCCGGAAACGATGATAACTTGACAGTGGAAAGATATGATGTGGTCCTGTTCTTCCACTGGGAATTCCATCATCACAGAATTCTGGGTCAAAGAAGTTTTTTCTCTCTTTTGCTTGACATCTTTTACCTCTAGCTTGAATTTTTCAATGATGAAATGGATGGGGGGCCTTTCCTCAGGGACAGAGCAGTTGACCTTCACCACTCCGCCTTCGATGGCCTCCTTCTTATCCAGGGTGACTCTGGGATTTGGCACTCCTTAGGGGGACAAAGAGTCCATTAGCACCAATCTGGCCTAGCAGCAGGAGTCTCCCAGCTGAGTTATGGTGCCCCCCACCAAGTTTCTTTTGTTATGTTCCAGAACCCCCATGGGGGCCCACCAGTCAATGATGACCTTTGTGCCTAGAACCTTAATCCAGACATTTTAAGAAATAAAAATATCTTTAAGATGAGGTTGGTGCTTTCCGAGTTTACAATCCCGGTGTAAGTTAGAGTTAAAACCAAATAAAACCAACTGGCCAGTATTTATTACTATGACTGTCATTGTTGTCACTTACTGAATGGCAGCCACAAACTTTGTCACTTTATATCCATGACCCCATGTAATTCTCCTAATAATCCTCCTGCATCAGCAAGTCAGAGAGATTTTGTGCTTGTTTTACAGACGAAGCTGAAGTCCAGAAAGATTCTAGACTCACCCAGCAGCTCCTAGACATCAAGCCCCACAAGTAGCTGAAAGTCAACCCCAGGTCTGTCTGACTCCCAAGCCAGAGTTTGGGATGGGGGAGTGGGGAGAGAGGAAGAAGCCCCAGAGCAAAGGGAGGGTGTGTCATGGGGTCAGTGAGTGAGGGAGCAGTCAGGAAAGAAGCTCTGGGGGTTCAGGAAAGAAGTCCCAACACATGACTTGGAGGAGGGCTGTCATATAGACAGATGAGGCCAGCTGGGGGCTGAGGCATGTGTGAGTGGGGAATTGCTTGTGGCAAGGGGTGTGAGTAGCTTCTCAGGAGGGCCTTCTAGAGCCCTCTGGGCCCTTCTAGAGGAAAGGCTGGAGAGTTCAATGCAACAGGTGAGAGGTCATGTTGGGGTGAGCCTGGCTGGGAGCAGACACCCAGGTCTGAGGTGGGGCTGAGAAGCTCCAGCCCAGTCAGCCAGCTCTGCCCGCCTCTCCCTGTGCACTCAGTCCGTCACTGGCGGCCCTCAGGAAGCTTATCCAGTCCAGTTAGTTCAGAGAAGGAGGCCATCCTCCTGGGAAGGGGATCTGGCTGCATTCTCACCACTGATGTCACCTGTTGGGTCCCCTGCCTGGTTCAGAGAGGGACTCGGCACATGTCTAATGAATGGATGAATTGGCCTTCGTCGACCGTGAAGATCTAGCCTAGTTATCTAGAGGCCAAGAGACCAATATTAGCATCCAAGAGACGTTGGTTCTAATCTGCCTTTGCCTTTGATGAACCCCAAGTGTGGCCCATGCCACTCGAGTCCCTGAGCCCCAGTGGCCATGCCAGGAATTGGCCGGAGTCCCATTTTTCTCCTAGTAACACAGGAGGGGTGAAATGCCAAGTGCATAAAGCATTTCTAACAGTTTATCTCCTACAACATGGAAATTCTTCTTACTGGAATATTACAATATTAACAATTTGAATGACTTCCGATCACAGAGTGACCATAAAAATGCAAAAACAACCATTGTGACAGCTGTTGTCCAAGAAGTTTAGGGCTGAATCCGCTAACTCTGTCCATTAAATTGTCCATATTTGAAAAAAAAAATTGCCCTAAGCTTCCAAAGGCCGCCAGCACCTCTTTCAACACTCATTATCCAGATTTGCAGTCCCCCCCTTTCCTCATTGCTAACATCAACGCCCAGGCCTGTTTGCTCCCCCCCTGCCCTCAGCAAAGATGGGGGACAATGGGCCTGAATCCCGGGAGCTGCTGCTGCTGCTGATACAAAGGGATGGCCGCCAGCCATGCCCCCCAACTGTCCACAGGACCCCTGGGAGGACATGGCCTGGAGCCAGATGCAGCCACGTGCTTCCCAGGGGGCCTCAAAGACTGATAAAGAAAGTGGTCGGAGATTTTAGGCTAGTGACTGGAAAGGGACCCCAACACTGGACTGCTGGTTCCGCCAGCTCCCTGTTTGCTGAAAGGGCCACTCTCTCCTCTAAGGATGGTCCGAGCCAAGCATGGAGGGGCCATTCACTCACTCACTCACTCAGCACCTGGTCCTGAGCCCCAGGCAGTAGCTGTCCCATTTCATTTTCAAAACAAAACAACCTTCCAGGGCATTCAGAGTCACCTGATTACCTCTGCTTGAGAGACAGGAAATGAAGCCTCCAAGAGGCTCAAGAATTGGTCGCCCCGCTGGGGCCCCAGCCCCGTCTCAGACTGCCCTTTCACTCATGCTGCCCCCCCCCCCCCATTTCTTGGACCTCGGCCCACTCGCCATCATGCAAACTTGCCACCTCTACTGTCTCTGTGCCCAAAGTCCCTTCTAGAAAGTTGCCCTGGACGTCTCCAGGAAGCATGGTTTCTTCCCCCTCTTGAGCCCCGAAGGCCCTCAGACCGCATGACTGTGGGGCTGTGTTTATTTCAATGCCTCTCTTCCCCACCCACTACAACTGCCTCCAGAGCGGGACCTGCTGGATGCGTTTTGGATCCAGCCCTTGGTTTCCCCAAGGGGAAAAGTTTGCAGTTTTAGGTAATGCTGCTTGAACAGTTAAACCAATGATTGAATGGATGGAACCCTTTATCTCTGAACCCCAATTTCGCACAATGATTTCCCTCTTGCTTTCTAACCCCGATCCATTTCTACCTGCTCTTTGTACCTGTTAACTTTGTTCCACAATCATTCATTGAAGGCATCTTATGAGCCAGAATCATTTTTTGAGATACAAAAATAGACCAAATGCCACCTCTTTCCTCATGACCTGGTAGTCCAGAAGAGCAGACTGATGTGGTAGGAATCGTTGCATTGTGGGGTGAAATAGTAACTGCCATTTATCGGGGAGTGATCACGTGTGGAAGTCACACGGAGCGCTCCACGTGCACAATCTCTTTGCATCCTCTCAGTAACAACCTGGGCATTGTTACTGTCTTCGTTTCACTGGTGAGAACGTGAAGGGATTGGCTCAGATTAATCCAGGCAAAGGACTGCAGATTCCAGGGTGGACACTGAGCCACGCAGACCAGCGAACACAGGGAGCATAAGCGTTGGAAGGACAGAGACCCTAGAAGCTAGCAATTTGTTCGGGAAAGTGCCTGAGAGCAGATCTCTGAGCTGAGTCTTGAAATCGTTCACAAGAAGATAAGAGGAAAGGGCCTCCCTGGAGGGGGAATGGCGTGTGCAAAGGCAAGGAGGAGAGAAATGTGCAGACATTTTTAGGTTAGGAAAATTCTGGGCAGATGAGCGAAAACAATGATGCCAGTGAGGCCACGGAGACCACGCATTCAATCACCGTCTACTACTGTCCTCACTGCGGCATGTGTGAACACGTCATCAACTTAGTTATGTCCAGTTCCAGGGACTCACCTCTCACAAACACCTGGTACTCTGCTGATGTCTTCTCCTTGTTGTTCAGAATCACAGTGCATTTGTATGTCCCTGAGTTATAGACTCGGGCTTGGGGAATAGGGAAACTCTCTGTGCTCTTCACGGTGGAGATATTGTAAAAGAGCGCATCGTTCTTATAGAACAGCATCTGGTACTGAGGCTTGAAGAGGGAGGTGGTGCTGACATCCACAATGCACTGCAGGGTCAGGTTCTCCCCGTTTTGCACCTCATTCTTCGGCAGGATCTCCATGTGGATGCTGTTGATGGTGAAAGCTAAGTGCCGGAGGGAAGGAGAGCAGACATACCTGTTATCTCAGAAACAACATCATCCTGATGACATTCCGCACACTGAGTGGTCATGATCACATCCTAGGCAGTATCATGCCCAGGAACCCCAGATGCTAACAGGGCCAGGTGGATAAGACTGTGTGTCGTAGCTCCAGCCTGGGGCAAGATTGGGGGACAGTCTGCAGAGTGTGACAAATAAAACCTCTCCATAAGATGCATACAAGCGGCAAGCTGCCACATCATGGCCCCTGGGACAGGAGAAGGGCGTAGAGGACACAGATTTTAAACAAATGCCCATGTCCTGGGTCATCGCTTGCTGAGCTTGGGTGATTAACCTCTGAGCTCAGTTTCCTCATCTGTGAGATGGGGCAAAGATAGTTACTTAATAATTTGCTGCAAGACTTCCAGGAGAGGGGCAGGACAGGGCCCAGTGAGCAACCGCTGATAAATGAAGGCTACCACAATACTAAAGCTGGACAGACACACCCAGGAACTTTCCTTCCCCACCCAGAACTGATCAAAATAGCACAGCCCCACCTGGCATTTTCTCTCTGACAGACTCAGAGACCTTAGCGCATGGGTGAAGCAAGAAACCACTTCTGAGTCAGCCACTGGCATTTCCCATCCCCTCCCACCACCGAGCAGCAAAGAGCACCAGTTGCCTCCCAATGAGAGGGTCTCCAGTCAAGCACCCAAATCAACCACAAGACCCACCTATCCACTTAGTCTTTGCCAAAAACTGGACTTCAGATCAAGTAGCTACATGCACTATTTCTGGCCCATATCCTCCAACATTTAATTGGCTTTTATCCAGCAACGGTAGGTGATAATAGAATTCAGTTGACTAGACATCACATTGACCTAAAGCCCCTGACCTTAAAAATCAAATAGCTCAACCTCTCAAAAATGTCAAACCTCTTAAGTCCTCCACCCCCACCCCATCAACTTCCATCTTCAAGGAGGGTGGCTATCTGTCTGGCGTCTCTCAACCAGGGCTCAACCACTATGCCTGTTAGTTAGCCTCCTGTTTTATTTAGGAAGTGTGAGTAACAGTCATGAGACTTTAAGTTTTTGAGTGAAGAGTGCTGTCAAATTCTTCAACCCTCCCCATAGGCAGATGATACCCTGAGAGCCCACAGACCAACTATTTGAAATAATGCAAGTTTAGAAGGGTGGCCGGGCGTAAGGTTAATATAAAAAAGTCAGGTGTGGCCCTCCCTGGTGGCGCAGCGGGTTAAAGCACAGCACTAAGAAGCTTAAGCCACTTCCGCATGAG